TCCCTTTGTGCCCCTCTGGAGATGAGCCAGAAACGTGAAGCTTGCATGGAGCCCTGCCCCGTAGCGTGCCCTGCAATTGCCTGCTTCAGAGAGACTCAGGTTGGTGCCTCAGCTGCCATCTAGTCTCGCACTGTTGGGGGAGATTGCTGCAATGAAGAAAATGGTTTCTGAGCTTCCGTTCTGGTGTGCGAGCCCCTAACTGTAGATGGATACAGAGCACATGGAATACGGTTGGTGTGACTGATTGTTTTAGAAATTGATTTTTACTTATTTATGTATTTTATTTTTGAGATAGCCTCAGTCTTTAGGTTGTTCTTGAACCGTCAGCAGTCCTCTGCCTCAGTCTCCTAAACTGGGATTATAGGCATAAGTCACCACACTGGTTTGAACTTTAATTAATTCATATTTCAGTTAATGTGGCCACAACTGCTTGATGTTTACAGTGTTGGTCAGTGAGATCCAGACCTCCCTTAGGTTCCCTCATTTTCTTTTTTTGAGTAAAACAAATTGTGTGTGTGTGTGTGTGTAGGCTCCGAGAGAGAGAGAGAGAGAGAGAGAGAGAGAGAGAGAGCGCACATTAGATCTTTTGGAGTTAGAGTTACAGGCAGCCATGAGCTGTGGTGTAGGTGCTAGAACCTGAACTCTGTTCCTCTGTGAGAACAGCCACTCCTAAGTATGCCTAAGATGTTCTGTGAGATCTCCCTGAGGAGATTTGACCTCCCCCTGCGTCTTGGCTGTATATGTTTGTATCACTGTGACTGATTTAAAATCATACCTTTCTGTGAAAACTGAGGCTGGACTTGTCAGTCCTAGCACTCAGAAGGCAACATCATCTTAGGCCGACTTGGCCTACAAAGCCATTTCAGGCCAGACAGAATGAGACTAGTCTAAAAAACAGTCGCTTTAGATCAAAAAGTTAATGTTTCTGTCCTCCACCTCTCTAGTGATGTTCCTTTGATCCCAGAAATCTGAAATTGGGTGTCCTGATTCCCAGTTACTGATTTTGTTTGAGCATGCTGTTGTCACAGCGAATCTGGAAGAAGGGAGAAGTCCACTCCTGCAGTCACAGATTCATCCTATCCTGTAGGCTCAGAATAATTTTCTTTGGGGCATTCTCCATGCATGTGGGCTCCCACCCTCTTATCTGGCAATGTAGCTTCCTTAATCTAATCCCACACCTCAGTCAAATGGCTGAAAAGAACAAAATGTTCTTTCCAGTTTGAGTTTCAGGTTTTTCCACATTGTCAAGTTTCTTTGTTTCTTTCTTTCAAGACAGGGTTTCTTTGTACCCATGGCTGTCCCGGAACTCTCCCTGTAGACCAGGATGGCCTTGAACTCACAGTGACCTGCCTGCCTCTGACTCTCAAGTGTCCCATCACTGCTTGGTATTATCAAGTTTCTTGCCTTCTTGGTAAAGTTTTCTTCCCATGGGAGGAACAGTATCTATCATGGGGGTATGGGTGACCACAAAGTAGTGATTACTCAGAAGAGACTACGTCTGAAAAGTACTCCATGGTTACACTTCAGTTCTGATGCTTCAAGCAAGTGCAGATTCTGTAACAATTCAGAGCCATCTGTTTAGGATGGCATCGAGGGAGTGGGCAGAGTAGGGTGGTCTGTTGTAGGGTCTTTACCCCTGTGATTTCCTTAGCAGTGGGGTGGTGCACTGTACTGTCTAGGAGACAACAGGAAGATGGTGGATACATGGGGCACAAACAGCCCTAGGTCTGTGTCTTACCAGCCCTGCCTGTTAACCATGTGTACTTTACTGAATATCTGAGATGCTCAGGTTTTTCCTGGGCAAAGAATTGGAAACAGTTATGAGAGGAGCTCAGAGTGAAAACTATAGTAAGTGTTGGTACAGTAAGTGATGTTGGGGACTTCGTAGTGACTTTACATTTCTGAAAAAGAAGAATGAGTCCACTTTCCTCCCGGAAAGGGTCTTACATTCTCAGAGGGGAGGGCTCGAGGACTGTTAGTTAAGATTTCCAGGTTTTGAATATGCTTTTGCTTTGTACCTTTTCTGATCCTCTGGTATTCAGCAGTATATGGTGAGTGTTAAGCCAGCCATGTCTTTGTGGGGAGGGTCTGATTTGTAGAATTTGCCAATTTCTATGGTATGAATAGTCTCTCAATGGCCAGTTTCAGTCTCTCGATACAATGTCAACCAGTCGGCAGCACAATTGCTTACTTAACAGTTGGTTCTTTGATCTGTTTAAAGCTGTTGCGGCACACTGCTGCCGGCATCCTTCATTTCCAAGGGCTAGCACAGGACTTGAGTAGTGTCTCTCTCCCTTAGCCCAGAAGAAACGGAAAAAGGACAGGAAGAAACAGCGGCCTGCTGATGCTTCTGAGGACGTCCCTCCTGCCCCTGGGCAGTCCATTGATAAGAGTTACCTCTGCTGTGAACACCATAAAGCCATGATCGCTGGCCTTGCCCTGCTGAGAAACCCAGAGCAGCTCTTAGGTAAGAGATAGCACTGCCTTCCACAGTCAGAGCCCGGAAGCCCAAGACGGAGCACATTTCCATGTCGCTCAGGCAGTTCCTACAGACCGACAGATGCACGTGGGTTCTGTCCTCCCTCATCTGACCATGGTCTCCATTAGTGAGTTGAGGTAACTTGCCTCAGACAGCCTGCCATCTTGAAATAGCTGCCTGTGTTGGGGTAAATATATTCAGCAAGGAATGTAAAGCACACAGATTTTGAGTTAACCATAGAATTTTAAGTTATTTATAACTTTCCACATGTGTATGTAGTGTTAACTGGATGGTGTTTATGACATCTCCAGTGCCTTTGGGTATTGTGTGGCTTGCAGTAGTGCCTTATTTGAGCACAAACTATAATTCTTATTATAGTTAGTTAAAATAAGTTTGCACTAATAGGCAGCTTCATGTGTTCACTCACAAGTGTCTTCACCTGAAGTCCCTGACATTATTCTCCACTTAATCTCAGGGTCCAGCCTTTTCTGGTGATTTGCTTGTTTGTTTTCTTCCTTCCTTCAGTACTCTTGTGGCTACTGGGGTTCTCTGCTTAGGGTTAGAATTTGGGTCTTTGCTTTCTGTACTTTAAAGAACTTGAGTGGGTTTTGCTTGTGTTGTTGGGGTGTCTGAAAAGGTGGCTAGGGCTCTGAGTTAAGAGCTGGGTGAAGGGTGTTGTGTTCATGCTGCTTTGTGCCTCCATTTCCGAGGATGGGGGTCTATCCAGTGACTCTTAAGAGACTCCTGGGAGCATGTCAGCCAGTTACATTGGAGTTTGTAAGGGACCGTAAACTTGGGCATGGTTCATTTCTTGGATCTAGCCAAATGGCATCAAGGCTGAAAGAGCAAATATCTTGATGTCTCAATTTCTAGGTCCTTAAATGTTTATCACGGCAGAACAACCATTACTGACATTCTCTCTTCTTACAGAGACTCCGCTGGCATTATTGGTGGTGGGTCTAGGAGGAGGTAGCCTCCCCCTCTTCGTTCATGATCATTTCCCAAAGTCTCGTGTGGATGCCGTTGAGATTGACCCCTCCATGTTGGAAGTGGCCACCCGGTGGTTTGGCTTCTCCCAGAGTGACCGGATGAAGGTTCACATTGCAGATGGCCTGGCCTACATTACCAGCCTGGCAGGAGGAGAAGGTACCACTGGGGGGGGGGGGGTGTCTTTAGAGGAGTGTTAGTTATGGAACGTTAGTCTAAGGTTGCCAGACCTGCAGGGGTCTCTAGAGTTCCCTTCTCAGAGGGGCTGTCCACATCCTGTCAGTCTTCCCCTGGGTGTTCATTTGGTTTTGCTGGGGTGTAGCAACCAATAAGAGAGACCAGTGAGCCCCTCTTCTGACCTTGTAACCTTGCCTCTTCCTACCACTCCAAGGAAGCTGGATCCTGTAGCCAGTGAGCAAAGGGAAGAAAAGATAGGGCCTATGTTGAATTTTTTTTTTTTTTTTTAATAAATCATTCATCTGTAGGTAAAGCCAGAAATAGAGTAAAACTACATTCACACAAGTCAGTGACTTCCAGCCTCAGGGACGTTTGACAAGGTCAGCAAAGATGGTTTTGGTTGTCACAAATTGGAGGGAACATTACTGTCATCAATGACAGAAAATCTTCTATGCAAAATGTATCCAAAATGTCAGCAGTGTGAGGCTGAGAAACGCTATTGCAGGGTTTCCTTCACTTTGTACCTTAGACATAGAATGAAGTGCACATTACTTTTCTGTAAAACAGCAGATTCAATAGTTCTGTTCCTTCCTTAACTTCATAGGATCCCAGTGTGGCTGGTTAATGTTAATGTATGCTTGGTCAGTTGTAACTGGAGGTTTCTCTCCTGCCCACCAGATCATGAATAACCACTCTGAGACATAATATTAATTACAAACTATTTGGCCTATTAACTCAAACTTATTATTAACTAGCTCTTACAACTAAGCCATTTCTATTCATCTATGTTTTACCATGAGACTTATGGCTTGTTATCTCACATCTTGTTTTACTAGCGACTCTCTGACTTCACTCTTCTCCTCCCTGTATATCTGCTTGGATTTCCTGCCTGGCTCTATTCTGCCTGGCTATTGGCCAAATCAGTGTCTTTATTAACTATTAATGGCAATAGAACATATTCACAGCATTCAGAGGGGTATCCCACATCAGTCGCCCTAGCCTGGATAGCTGCTTTGGCCAGTTGACTGGCTCTCAGTTTTGATTATACTTTTCAAATTACCTGGGGAGCTGGCAGAACACACCATAGGCTTCCTTCCCACCTCCTCTCACTTCTGGCCACCACTCTGGGGTTTGACATCACATTCTTCAAATCTGTAGAAACTTTCCAAAGTGATGCTGATTTCTTCCAGCATTAAAAACCACACGCATAGCGTGTACCATTCATGCTAGAATGAGCCTGTCATGTGTGCCTCTGGAAGGTGAGGACTGCTCCTCTGTGCTGTAGGGTGGTCGTCAAAGCCTTCATGATGTCATCTTTCATTCTTAGTTGCCCACAGCAGGTTTCAGAGCAGGTGTGTGTATAGAAATGTAAGTGATGCCATCTTATCCCGCAAAGACAAGGACTCATTGTCTCCTCTTTCGCAGCTCAACCCCACTATGATGTGATCATGTTTGATGTAGACAGTAAGGATCCGACACTGGGGATGAGTTGTCCTCCCCCAGCGTTTGTGGACCAACTTTTCTTGCAGAAGGTCAAAAGCATCCTGTCTCGTGAAGGTAAGAAACCCTAGAGTCTGGGAAGGAAAGAGGGAAGGGTCCTTTGGAATAAATATTTGGGCTGGAGAGTTAGAGCCACTGCAGCTATTGCAGGGGACTCGGCTTAGGTTCCCAGCACTCATGTCAACTGCCTCTAATTCCTGCTGCAGGGAACCGAGGCCCTCGCTAGACTCTGGGTGCTGCTTTAGGGAACCGAGGCCCTCGCTAGACTCTGGGTGCTGCTGCAGGGAACCGAGGCCCTCGCTAGACTCTGGGTGCTGCTGCAGGGAACCGAGGCCCTCGCTAGACTCTGGGTGCTGCTGCAGGGAACCGAGGCCCTCGCTAGACTCTGGGTGTCCGCTGCAGGGAACCGAGGGTCTCTGCTAGACTCTGGGTGCTGCTAGAGGGAACCGAGGCCCTCGCTAGACTCTGGGTGCCGCTGCAGGGAACCGAGGCCCTTCCTCTACTAGATTCTGGGTGCCTGCATAACAGCTTGCATATTCCCAATATCACATCACACACATAATTAAAAAATAAAAAAACAAAATGGTTCTTTTTGTTTTTTTTGAGACAAGATTTCTTTGTGTAATCCTGACTGTTCTGGAACTCACTCCGTAGACCACGCTGGCCTTCAACTCCCTGCCTCTGCCTTCTGAGTGCTGGGATTAAAGGCGTGCACCACCACCACCCGGCATAAAATTATTCTTTAGTAAAAATTTCATGTAAATGTGTAGTTTGATTAGTTTTCCTAAATTGGCTGCCTGCTTGCACCAAACACAGACTGTTTCCAGCACCCTGGAAGCCACCCCTTACGGACTCCTCCTCTCCTCTAAAGGGAAAGCATTAAACTGTCTTCACAGCTTAAGTTTGTTTCTTGCTGTAGATGAGTCACATGTATTATATTCTTTTAAATGTCTGCTTTCTTTCACTTAGCCTGATGTCTGTGAGATCTGACCATGGTGTTGTGCTGATATTGTCCATTTTTACTGCTCTTGGTATCATGTGACTATGCTACCATTCATTTGCCCGGCACCAGTGTTTGGAGGTGATAGAAGCAGTGTTACCAGTAATAGTCTTAGTGTGTGCTATGTATTTGGTAACTTTCTTTATAGGTGTCTTGAGTAGGTCCATAGGCCTGTAACTGCTCGTGATTTATGAAGGTGTTCAGCTTTTGTTGATCTTGCCAAGTGGTTTATAATGTCGTCGTAGTTCACATTGAAGCAGCTTGGTGACTCTAGCTACCACTCAGATGGTTTCCAGATGCACTGGACTTGGCGTTGTGTTACTTAATCTTCGTAGGAGCCCGTTTTCAGATGAGGAAACTTAGCTTGAGAGACTTGCCACGCTTATACTCAGTTGGTGCTTGAGTTCTTTGTCACTTGAAGCCTGCGTCCAGAACCCCTAGGTATTTTCCATTTTAAAAGTCCTCTGGTGGCTGGGTTGATTGGAACCGTGATTGCCAGAAGTCAGATAACCTTGGCCTTCTCACTGGATAGTAAATACCCATGTGACGTGTGTGTCAAGAATATAACATTCTTGTGGAATTGATAAATTTGTGTTTTGTGAAGGGTATTAATTACTTTTCATTAAAAGATTTCTTAGGCATGGAGAATATTATAGTAACGTGTTAGCGATGGGAAGCATTAGGAAGTCAGACTAAAGCTTTCTTAGTGTCACATCTGCACAGTCTTGATGCTTCTGTGTGCTGTGTATTCTCTGCAGGCTCTCCTGATTTTCTCCCTTCACCAGCCTCCCTGTTAGAGACTTCTGGATTCTCCTTATGCATGGATCTGTGGTCAATCTACTCTTTCCTTCCTGTTCCACAGGTATCTTTATCCTTAACCTTGTGTGTCGTGATGTGGAGTTAAAGGACTCAGTGCTGGCTGGACTCAAGGCAGCCTTCCCTCTCCTGTATGTTCGGCGAATTGAGGGCGAAGTGAATGAGATCCTGTTTTGTCAGCTGCAGCCAGAGCAGAAGCGTGCTACACCAGAGCTCCTGGAAATGGCCCAGGCTTTGGAGCGGACCCTGAGGAAGCCTGGGCAGGGTTGGGATGACACCTATGTCCTGTCAGATATGCTGAAGACTGTAAAGATTGTGTGATCAGCTTTCTGCCCAGACTGATGTGAACTGGGCTGCTGGAGTATGACACACAGGTCTTTTAGACCTCATGTTTCTCTTGGTGACATCCCTCCGACCTTTTGGGATGGGAGGCAGTCCCAGGGATGATTGCTTTGATTTTTTTTTTTTTTTAGAAGTGTGGTTATGGACGAAGAACGGGACTGGTCATCTGCTTCTGGAGGCTGAGGGAAGGCCAAGGGAGAAGTTACAGTTGGGCAGTGTCCTACTGTGGATCTTCAGTGTCTTCCCAAAGGTCATATGTTGAAAGGTGGCTCGGGCTTTGTGGAGGAGGTTAGGTCACCGGTGTGCCCTTGAAGGACTGTAGAGACACTGGCTTTTCTCTTTTGGCCACTGTCAGGTGAAGCACTCAAACTACCATATCTTCCCTCCCATGATGCCCTGCTTCACCTCAAGCCCAAGGACAATGGGTCTGCCCACTCATGGCCTAGAACCATGACTAAGCCAATAAATCTTTCTTCCTTGCAAGGAGGTTTGTTTTGAGAATTTTTATAGTAACTGAAAGCTAAGAGCAGTTTTCAGCTTCATTTCCTATAATGTGTACCAATGAAGACCAGTGTGTTCTAGCTGCTGACCTTTCCCCGTCCCTCAACTGACTCCAGGGCACTCACTAGCTTTTGTGGAGAAGGTTTTAGCACACAGAGTCACTTCCTATGTCCCATCTTTCCCACTAAAAAAAATGATTTACTTTTGTATTAAGGTCAGGCAAATGAGTCTGTATGAGAATTTTTAAAAACTTGATTATTTTACAATTTCACACATATGTATACAATTTCATACATATATGTGCTTGTATACATGTAATGTACTTTGATTACATTTCCCCACCCCATTATTCCCCATCGTCTCCCTCTCAAACAATCCTTTCCCTAACAAAAATTACATCTTCTTTGTCTTGGTAGACCACTGCATTTAATTAGTGTTGCTTGCATGACAATAGGTGGGGGTTATTTACTTGAGCACAGTGGTTATACCACTGTAGAGTATTATTTCCACTTCCATCCCGCAAACATTAGCTATATAGCGCCTTGGGAAGGAGTGGGGCTTTATGAGCCTTTCCCCCTTTATAAGACTTCTGCTTAACTTTGGGCATAACAGGTGCTGGGAAAGGAGAGTTGTGAACCTAAGGCCGTTAACAAATTGTTAGGTCTAAAGCAAATGCTGGGGGAAGAACAGGCAATCCAGAGAAGAAACACCCATGCCCCATAGGTTGCCAGAAAGGTATCCCTAGTGTGGCTAGGTCTTTACTGTGAGCCAGAAATTTTAAGTGTGTATGGGGGTAAGCTTCTGTGTATTAAAGTGTTGGCCAATCAGAAACCATTTTGAAGACATTTAATCCATGTGCCAGAAAGATTATCTTCCATTTAAGAGATAGCATTTAGAAATGCAGAATGCCAGAGAGTCTGGACTAACCCCTGCCTTCGAGCATATTACAAAGAGCAAGCTGAGAGCTTGGAGACAAAACTAAAGTCTTACCTTGTTTTAACTCAAGTGTTCTTAGAATGGTCGTGGTTGGTTGCTGTGGTTCTCACAGTCTGGAAAAGTATACAGTTTTCACTTTCCAGAACAACCAGGGAATAGGATGAGAATACAATATGATACCTTGGTCCCTACCAAACTGTTGACAGAGGTTTCTGTCCCGCCTAGTCCCGCAGCTGTTTAGTCCCAAAGAAACACAGAGGTCTACATTAATCATAAACTGGTTGGCCTATTAGTTCAGACTTTTTATTAACTCTTAAATGGCACATCTTAACCCATAATTCTTGTCTGTGTTAGCAATGTGGCTTGGTACGTTTATCAGCAAGGCATTCTCATCTTGCTTCCACTACGTCTGGGTGATAACTGCAGACTGCAATTTTTCCAGAATTCTCTTGTTCTCGTTGCCCTGCCTCTACTTCCTGCCTGGTTGCCCCACCTATACTTCCTGCCTGGCTACTGGCCAATCAGCATTTTATTAAGATATAAGTGTCAAATCTTTACAAAGTACAAGACCATTGTCCCACAGCACCAAACAAGTTCTGCAGCAATATAAAATGGTTAAAGTTGACTATTGCCTCTTATCCTGCACCTGCACCAAGTCTTCACTGCCAACCTATCACACCTTAGCTTGCTAACTGGGTAACTTCCATAGTCTGTCTTTTATGGGTATAGAAACAATTTTTATCTATACTACACTTTGGAGTCACTTGGCATAGTAAGCAGAATAATGCTTCTCCAAAAATGTCTGCAATCTGTGAATATGGTACAGCTCACTGATGGGGAATTATTGTAACAAGTAGGCTTGATGCTAGTCAGCTGATTTTAAACCATTGAGGTTATTTTGGATTATGGAGGTTGGCTCAATGTTATCATGAGGTTATTTAAATAGTGGAAGGAGGCAGAAGTGTCCATATCAAGGTGAAACAATGTGCTGAAGATTGCACTGGTCACTGCTGGTCTTGGAGATGAAGGTCACTAGCCAAGGAACACAGTTGGCCTGTTGTAGCTAGGAAATATAAGAAAACTTACCAGGAGTTTCCAGGACCGAAGCTCTCTGCCCTGCGTGCTCCAGCATTGTGGAAACTGCCCCCAACTCAGGTTTAGCCAGTACAATTCATTTTTGGATTTCTGAATTACAGGATCCTGGTAGTTTAAATACAGTGGACCCCCATAAGGTTATAGGGAAGTGGCCCTATTAGGGGTGAGGCTTTGTTAGAGCAGATATGGCCTTGTGGGAAGAAGTGTGTCATGTGGGGGTGGGCTTTGAGGTCTCATATATGCTCAAACCATGCTCAGTGTCTCAGTTCACTTCCTGTTGTCCGAGGAAGATGTAGGACTCTGAGCTATCTCTAGCACCATGTCTGCCAGCAGGCAGCAATGTCTCACCATGATGATAATGGGTTGAACCTCTGAACTGTAAGCTACCCTAATGAAATGTTTTCCTTTGTAAGAGTTGGCGTGATGTTGTTTTTGTTTTTTTTTTTAATATTTATTTATTTATTATGAATACAATATTCTATTTGTTTGTGTGCTAGCAGACCAGAAGAGGGCACCAGGTCCCATTACAGATGGTTGTGAGCCACCATGTGGTTGCTGGGAATTGAACTCAGGACCTTTGGAAGAGCAGGCAATGCTCTTAACCTCTGAGCCATCTCTCCAGCCCCTGGCGTGATGTTTTTTCACAGCAACAGAAACCCTAACTAAGACACAGGACTGTAAGACAATGTTTGAGTTCCTCTAAGCTTGAAGTAGCATGTTTCAGCAGTCCTAGGAAACTGATAATCTGGGTGGCTTTAATGGTCGCTGAAGATTCCATCCCTGACTGGGGATACTCCGGGAACCAGGAACAAGTCATAGCCATCAGTGGTCAGCAGTGAGTCCTAAGGGCAGCCATCGCTTGGTAATGGGTTAATGTTCTTGTCTCACTACTCTGTCCTTTGAGTCAGCTGAGGACGTGAGCCTGCTGCAGAGGGTGACATCCTCTGTAGAGCATGCAGCTTCCTGCCTCACTGTAACTGAGTGCACATCCTAGAGTCTGCTTAATGGAGCGCCAGGCTTCTAGCAAACCACCGCTCTCCAGTTTCTCTCTTGTGGCGTGGCTTACTAGTTGGTTCTTACATATTTGTTAGATAGTAAGAAATAGGATTGGTAAGTTGAGTTTCCCCTTTTCGTATTCGTTAGGCTTTTTTTTTTTTTTTTTTTTTTTTTGAAAGGCTATCCCTTGCCCTTTACTGAAGGCTATGTAAAGGGAAGACAACAGCTTCTGCGGACAAAAGAGCAGCTACTACCTTACATGGATGACTTCTGGAACCATAGGGTTATGATACAGCACAGAAGAAGCTCAGACATTTCCTAGGAGTTTCAAATCCTTGTTAGAACAGGCAGAAAAGGAGCCAGTCTCAAGAAAAGCTGCCTCTTAAAGTGACAGACGATTGAACTGAGCCCCGCCTTCTCCTGCCCGCAACACCGGTCTTAGCTGGTTCCGTGCTTGCCAGTAGATGGCGCTAGAAATCACCTTTGAGTTCTGTGGACCTTCTCACTTGGTAACATTCCTGGAAGAAGGGTAAAACTCAAGATGATTTCAGTCGAACAGCATTTCTGATTCTGTTAGGTGTGAGGATGCTCTCCTTTATTTCTCTCGATTCTCCGAATGCTTTGCCCACCCTTCTCTGGGCTCCCTTTCTTCTCTACCCTACATGGAGATGACAGCATTTGTTTCCACCTCTAATGCTGCACACCTGGAAGCAGGATTCTCTTTGCGCCACACCTTTGATGTTAGAAGGCAGAGTGATGGGAGAACTCAGAGAGAAAGGAAGAAATTTAAAGCTATAGCAATGTAAGAAACAAAAACAATGTATGCGGGCCGCTGACGTATCTGCATGATTCCCGCCAAGATGGAAGTAACTTCTTGTTTAAAAATAGATATATTAAACACTTATAGTAAATTGATAACATATTACTATCCTGCAATAAAATTAGGTGTTCTATATTTCATTTCACTGATTTGTGTATAGTTCTATGCCAGTACCATGCTATGCTGGTTAGTATAACTTTGTAGTATGTTCTCAAGTCAGCTTTGTGTTCCTCTGACTTTGTTTTGCTGAGGATGACTGCATCAGTCTGTGTTCTCCAGAAAGACAGAAACAGTGCCAGGCGTTGGTGGCATGCGCCTTTAATTCCAGCACTTGGGAGGCAGAGACAGCCAGATCTCTGTGAGTTCGAGGCCAGCCTGGTCTACAGAGGGAGTTCCATGATGGGCTCCTAAAGCTACAGAGAAATCCTGTCTCGAAAAATAAAAATATATAAAGAAGAAAGAAAGAAAACCAGAAATAGTGGAGTAATTGTATGTTGTTAAAAAAAAAAAAAGGAGTTTGTTAGATTGGCTTATACCTTAGGGGCTGGGTAGCCCAGCAATGTCTGTCTGTTTGCTGGGGGTGGGGTGGGGGACAGAGAACCCAGCAGCTACCCAGTCCATGAAACGCCCAGCAGTCCCTGGAAAGATCTTGGAGAGTTGCTGGTCTTCAGTCCGTGTTGGAGGGCTGAAGAAACTAGGTTCTAGTGACAGCAAAGATGGCAGCCGCGTGGACAGACTCACTACCAGGTCCTCGGCTTCTGCAGCAAGGCAAGCGATAGGTGTTTAAAAACACTGTAAAGCTACAATACAGAACCTTTTAAAGGTGTCCCTGAGGTCAGGTTACTGCTAGTATTTCGCTGAGCATTTTTGTGCCTTTTCTCATCAGATTTGGATCTGTAGTTAAAGAAAAAAAAACTATCTTTGTTTTCAAATATTTATTTATTTATATTTAGAGACAGGGTTGCATGTAGTCTAGGCTATTCTCCAGCTCCCTCTGTGGTGGAGGATGAATGACCTTGAGCTCATGATTTTCCTGTCTCCATCTCAGTGTACAGATGCCGGGGATATCTCCCCCTCCCCAGCTGTCTGTTTCTGTGTCAGGGGTGAGGCTAAGCCTTCTCAAAATACATTTAATAGAGTTACTTTCATTTCATTTTTTGGAACAGCAGTTAGAATTAGCTCTTTAAACATTTTATAGAATTTAGTAGTAAAGTCTACAGGTCCTAGATTTTTTTTTCTTTTAGATGGGAGATTTTTAATGCTTCAATTTCAGTATTCATGGTTTTTCTATTTCTTCTTGATTCTGTTTTGGTAGGTTATATGTGTTCTGGAATTTATTCGAGCTAACCTCCTATTTTTGGCTACTGGCATTTTTTGGTTCATCATGCTGTTGTGTGTTTTAGATCATCCATTTTCATTGCTGGAATCTTTCCTTGTGTGGCTGTTCCACAGTTCTTTATTTACATTTTGATGAGTATTTAGGTCATTTCCATATTTGGACCATTACAGGTAAGGCAGCTGTGGCTATTCATGACAGCATTTTTCATGGCCATATACATCAATTTCCTTAAGGTAAATCCCTGACTTGGAATGACTGTGTCCTATGGTAGGTGTATGTTTAGCTTCTTGAGATTCTACAAAGTACTTTTTTTTTTTTTTTTTTTTTTTGGTTTTTCGAGACAGGGTTTGTCTGTGGCTTTGGAGCCTGTCCTGGAACTAGCTCTGTAGACCAGGCTGGTCTTGAACTCACAGAGATCCGCCTGCCTCTGCCTCCCGAGTGCTTACAAGGATGTGCATCACCTTACACGTGTGTATATCATTGTACTTGGTGCATATTTATCTGTCTGTTGCCTTGTTTTGCTCCCCCACTGTCATGCTGGTCCTCTTCTCCCTCCACTGTCACGTCTGTATTTAAATCTGGAGCCTGCATGTGGTCACATGATGTTACTGTCTTTTGTTCTCCCTCCCCCTTAGACCAGACCATGGGTTACGTAGGATCTTTGATTTTTAAAGATTCAGTTGGAAACTTTTTCAATTATACAGTGATGCAAAAATCAGGATATGTTTAACAGAAGCTGTAGTTTAAATATTGACTGGGATCTTTTTCTAAGCTAGCCAATGCACCCTGTCACAATACTGCTCACAGTGAGCCAGGCTACCACAGGGTCAATTACCAATACGCCCTAGTGCACTGTGTAGCCAAACTGGGATGGTAGTGTCAAAAATCCATTTCCGTCTAGAACAGGTTGATCTGGATGCAACTCCATCACAAGTCTGGGAGCATCTGCCTACAATTTCCAACAATTTGAATTTTCCCCACCGTTTCATCCGCTCTTTTGATTCCTCATTCCCTGCTCCTTGGATTGTGCATGCCATAGGATTCCCAGGTTTGCTCCACGGCTCATTTGTGCTCTCTTCATTTTTCCCTTATTTTTTTTTTCTCCCATGTTTCACTTTAGATTGTTTCTGTTATGTTCTCAAAATTACTCGTGTTTTCTTCTGTGATGTTTAATCTGCCATTAGCCTTATTAATTGTCTCTTTTATTTGATACTTAAAATATACTTTAGAAACTTGTATACTGTATTTTTAATTTTTTAAAATTATATGTGTATATGTTGGTGGGGGGGGGCATGTGCACACATGTGTAGGTGCTCACACAGGTCAGAAGAAAGCATCAGATCTCCTGGAGCTGGAGTTACAGGCAGTTGTGAACCACCCAATACCAGAGCTGGGAATGGAACTTGGACCCTCTCTGCAAGAGCGGTACAGTTCCTGCTCTTAACCACTGAGTCATCTTTCTAATTTTTCTAGTGTTATAGTTTTCTCCTATCTAGAAAGAAGGCTTGTGATTGTTGTGTAGAAGTGTCCTGGAGGTGAAAACATTTCATCCCTGAAACTGACCAGACTCACTAGGCCCCTCCTTCCCAAGAGTAAGCAATAAGGACTGCTGAGGGTCATTCTCAGAGGAGCCAAGCTGCAAAGAGGATTCTCAGACAAGCTGTGATGACTATTCTGTGATGACTATTCTTATGTCAACTTGTCACAAGCTGGGGTTATCAGAAAGGAGAGAGCCTCAACTGAGAAATGTTTCCATAAGATCTGTCTGTAGCTTGACGGTGGTGGTGCATGCCTTTAGTCCTAGCACTTGGGAGGCAGAGGCAGAGGCCCGTGGATATCTGTGAGTTCAAGGCCAGCCTGATTTACAGAGCTAATTCTAGGACAGCCAGGTCTACACAGAGAAACCCTGCCTCGAGAAACCAATAAACAAACGAACGAACGAACAAACAAACAAATAAATAAATAAATAAATGATTTGGCACTATAGGTTTCTTAACTAATAATTGACGTGGCAGGAATGAACCCATTGTGGGTGCTGCCATCACTGGACTGGTGGTCCTTGTTTCTATGAGAAAGCAGGCCGAGCAAGCAATGAGAAGTAAACCAGTAATCACTCCTCCATGGCCTCTACATCAGCTCCTGCTTCCAGTTCCTGCCCTGCTTGAGTTCCCATCCTGAGTTCCCATGACACTGAACAGTGATGGAAGCATAA